CGCTCTCACTTGGGCGCAGCTTCTGCAGCTAAGAGGCCCTCAGCGAAAAGTTCGAGTTCGCAGAACTAGAGTCAGGAACCCAGGGTTTAGGGTTTAGGGTTTAGGGTTTAGGGTTTAGGGTTTAGTCAGGAACCCAAACAGGCACCCAATATTCCTACCTGCTTGGCTTATTTAAAGAGAGGATCATGTGATATCCCAGCCTTTTGGTTTTGGTTTTTGGACCCCTGTAGAAGCCCATGTCTTCGCAGCTGCCCGAACTCGGAGTTGCTTGAAATTCCCATGCCATCTTACCTACAGTCTCCATCGTAATTCTTTACTTGGTTTAACCAATTATAGCGAACCCCACAAAGTTGGAGCATGGGCTCAAGATGATTAGTGCTGGGATTCCGTATACTTTATCTTAAGGGCATCTGGATAATGATGTTCCAACTTTCTGGCTTCTGCTGTATTGAGATCCTATAAGTTACCCCCCCTAAAAAGGAACCACAGTGGAGACTATAGGTCAACCCCAAGCATCGCAGAGGCACACCCCCTAAGTCTCCGAACCCCACTCGCAAAGAGCCTGCCTCCAACGCCAAAACATATGGGGTTTAGGGTTTACCTTAACCCCAAATAACCAACCTTGTTAAGGACTTATATAAAGAAATCATAATAAGGAACCCTAGAAAGGAAGGTTCTTTAGGGTTCAGGTAGGGTATAGTACGGGGCCACAAGAGTCTTAAGGGTGTAGGGTGGAGGGTGTCGGAGTTTGAAGTACGTTGTGGAGCTATTTGGTTTATGGAATTGCGAACAGCTCAAAGGCAGTCTGCTACAGCACCATATGCAGCAGGCATGCTCAAGAGCTTTGAGGAAGTACAGAACCAAACATCAGGTATTCCAAAACCCGTACCAAAACTCCTACAACCTAGCCTGTTTGCCATGTACGTTTCTTTAAGCTCCTGTGTTCAGCTCGGCAACGAGGATGATGCTGGTGGTTCGCGTCTTCGCTGGCTTCTTCTTTTGCGACCATAGGAAGGCAGAGGGGTTCGGCGCAGGGTTTAGGGTTTCATGGTTTTTAGGGTTTAGGGTTTAGGGTTTAGGGTTTAGGGTTTAGGGTTTCGGAGCGGGGGGAGGGGTAGGGTTCCGGGTTGAGCGTCCAGGGCTCTGGGCATAGCATAAGATTTGTAGATATATTTGCCATAGAGCTTTGTCTTATCGGGGGAAGGGGGGCTTTGAGCAGCCCTAAACCCTAACCGTAGACCCCTAAAGCCCCCTTAACCCCCTAAACCCCCTAACCCCCAAAATAAACACTGTATAAAGGCTTTGAGGCTGTATCCTCGAGGCGAAGCTGGGAGCAGTCGACAAGTAGTATCAGGTTTGACTTGAGGGTAAGGGTTTATATAAGGTTTCGAGTATAGGGCTGAGGCTTTAGGGTTTCGGATTTTGGTGGTTTAGAGTTGATGAATTTCAGCAAACGGTTTAGGGTGTCACGGTTTCCTTCATCATGGCTATGGAAGACGCTCAGAACCCTTAGCCCGCGCACGCCCGAGTACCAGAATCTCATTTCCAAACCAGGGTTTAGGGTTTAGGATTAGGGCTTAGGGTTTAGGGTTTGCCGTTTATATAGGGGTTTAGGGTTTAGGGATGTAAGACGAAACTCCAGCGTAGACCTATACTTATAGTCTTCATTGTAGGGCCTTTTTTGGTTAAACCAACTCTATATTTAGAACCTTTTCGGAGAACCCCAAAAGGAACTACAACGGAGACTACTTGTAGGTAAGTACGAAAACGACAACCGAAGTGCACAAGCCGGAAAGCTACAGACTTTTCGAAGGCGGTCTCCTTCCAGATCATCTTCGTTCTGCTGAAGGTGGAATGGCAGCCCCACAACGCTGCGGTCTCTTGCGCACGGATTAGACCTGAACGATCCGGGGGAACCCTGCAGTATCATATTTTGCTTTGTTGGTCAAATCCTAAACCGTAGCCTAACCCCTAACCCCTAACTCGGAAGATCCCCCGGAAGCCACTCATGGTGGTCTGAACACGTCTTAGACCACACAGCTGTGTATGCAGGGTCTGGCAAGGTGTAGTTGCTAAAGCCTTCTCCGTACCTCCTGTGTGGCTCTGTTTTGGTTCCCATGGTTTCTGTGTTATTGTAGGAGTATTTTCATAGAGGAGGTGGCTAGCCATAAGAAGGGGCTAGATTGCAGACTGTCGTCCAGGTATATTTGCAGACCCGAAGCACTAAATCCGAGACCCGAAACCCTAAATCCTTGGCACTTATAAACCTAAATCCGAAAATGTTTGTTGCGGCTCGTATTTGGGCTGTACTCGGGATGTGGGGTCAGTACTTTGTTTGGTGAGCGTTGCCACCACCGCGACGACTACTAGTGTACTATTGCTAGTAGCATTTATCACTCCATGCACGACGGCGGCTGCTTGCGAATACATCTAGCTATCAGAAGTAATCGACAGCCTAGGATGCACCAGCACGTCCGACGCCGCAGCCACCACCGCTGCCACGACACCACAATCAATAAGCATCGAATGATTGTAGCATCCTCAGGTTAATTCGGTGGGCTACAGCGAGATGTGGGACGTGATGATTTGGCACACCTTTCAGCCGCCCAGCTTGCTGGGGGGGGGGGGGGGGGGGG